ACTCCCACCAACAGTGCAGAAGAGTTCCTTTTTCTCCACACCCTCGCCAACATTTGTTGTTGCTAGTTTTTTTAATATGTGCCATTCTCACTGGTGTAAGATGGTATCTCATGGTAGTTTTGATTTGCATTTCCCTGATGACAAGTGATGTTGAACATTTTTTCATATGCCTGTTGGCCATTTGCATTTCCTCTTCAGAGAAGTTTCTTTTAAGCTCTTCTGCCCATTTTTTGACTGGATTATTTTCTTTGTTGTTGTTGAGTCTCATCAGCTCTTTGCAGATTTTTGTGATCAGTCCTTTATCATTAGTGTTGGGTGCAAAAATGTTCTCCCAGTTGGTGGGGTTTCTCTTTGTTTTTGTTATTGTCTCTTTTGCTGTGCAAAAGCTCTTTAATTTGATATAGTCCCAGCTGTTTATCTTTGCCTTCACTATCACTGCTTTGGGTGATGTGTCTGTAAAGATGTCTTTGATGTGCAAATCACGTAGTGTTTCGCCTATATTTCCTTCTATATATTTTATGGTTTCAGGTCTTATGTCTAGTTCTTTAATCCATTTTGAGTTGATTTTTGTGTATGGTGTGAGGTGGTGGTCAAGCTTCATTCTTTTGCATGTAGCGACCCAGTTTTCCCAGCACCATTTATTGAACAAACTTTCTTTGCTCCAATGCATAGTCTTTGCTCCTTTGTCAAAGATTAGTTGACCATAAATCTGTGGGTTTATTTCTGGATTTTCTATTCGATTCCATTGGTCTGTATGTCTGTTCTTGTTCCAATACCATGCAGTTTTGATGATTATGGCTTTGTAGTATAGTTTGAAGTCTGGGAGTCTGATGCCTCCATTCCCTTCTTTTTTTTTCAGGAGAGCTTTGGCTATTCGGGGTTTTTGTGATTCCATATGAATTTCATCAATAATTTTTCTATTTCTTTGAAGAATGACATTGAAATTTTGATTGGAATAGCATTGAATCTGTATATTGCTTTTGGAAGGATGGCCATTTTAATAATGTTTATTCTTCCAATCCATGAGCAGGGGATGTCTCTCCATTTCTTTGTGTCTTCTTCTATTTCTTTTAACAGTGTTTTATAGTTTTCTTTGTATAGGTCCTTTACCTCTTTTGTTAGATTTATTCCCAAATATTTGATTTTTTTTGTTTCAATAACAAAAGGGATGGTCTTTTCGATTTCTTCTTCTTCAGATTTATTGTTTGTGTATAGGAAGGCTACTGACTTTTGCGTGTTGATTTTGTATCCTGCCACTTTACTGAACTGATTGATGAGTTGAATTAGCTTTTCTGTGGAGTTTTTGGGGTTCTCTATGTATAATATCATATCGTCTGCAAATAGTGATAGTTTGACTTCTTCTTTTCCTATTTGGATTCCTTGGATGTCTTTCTCTTGTCTTATTGCCCTGGCTAGGACTTCCAGTATTATATTGAAAAGCAATGGTGAGAGTGGACATCCTTGTCTTGTTCCAGATCTTAATGGAATTGCTTTCAGCTTTTCACCATTGAGAATGATACTGGCTGTTGGCTTGTCATAGATGGCCTTTATGATGTTGAGGTATGTTCCTTGTATCCCAAGAACTTCAAGGGCTTTTATCATGAATGGGTGTTGCACTTTGTCGAAAGCTTTCTCAGCATCTATTGATATTATCATATGGTTTTTATATTTCTTTTTGTTGATGTGTTGGATAACGTTGATTGATTTTCGGATGTTAAACCATCCTTGTGCCCCTGGAATGAATCCAACTTGGTCGTGGTGAATTATCTTATGGATACATTGTTGGATTCTGATAGCTAAAATTTTATTGAGGATTTTTGCATCAGTGTTCATTAGGGAGATTGGCCTGTAGTTTTCCTTTTTTGTGTTGTCCTTGTTCGGTTTTGGTATTAGTGTAATGTTGGCTTCATAGAACGTGTTTGGTATTGTCCCTTCCTTCTCAATTTTTTGGAAGAGTTTGTGAAGGATAGGCACTAATTCGTCTCTGAATGTTTGGTAGAATTCATTTGTAAATCCATCAGGTCCTGGGCTTTTGTTTTTGGGGAGGTTTTTGATTACCATTTCAATTTCGCTAATTGTAATTGGTCTGTTTAGGTGTTCTATTTCTTCTTTATCTAGCTTTGGGTGGTTGTAGAGTTGTAGGAATTTGTCCATCTCCTCTAGATTGTTAAACTTGTTTCCATATAACTGTTCATAGTAGTTACTGATTATTCTTTTGATTTCTGCTGTGTCCGTTGTGATTTCTCCTCTTTCATTGATGATCCTGTTTATTTGTGCTTTCTCCCTTTTTTCCTTTGTGAGCCTGGCTAGGGGTTTGTCTATTTTATTGATTTTTTCAAAGAACCAGCTCTTGGTTTCATTGATCTTTTGGATTGTTTTTTTAGTTTCAATTTCATTTATTTCTGCTTTGGTTTTTATTATTTCTTTTCTTCTACTGGTTTTGGGGTTTTCTTGTTGTTCTTTTTCTAGATCTTTGAGCTTCGAGATTAGGTTGTTTCTTTGCGTTCTTTCTTGTTTCTTGATGTGAGCTTCTATTGCTATATATTTTCCTCTTATTACTGCTTTTGCTGCATCCCATACATTTAGGATATTGGTGTCCTCCTTGTCGTTCAATTCAAAAAATTTTTTAATTTCTTCTTTGATCTCCTCATTAGTCCAATGGTCTTCCAGTAGTGTGGTTTTTAATCTCCATGAGGTAGGAAAGTTCCTTGCCTTCTTTTTATGGTTTATTTCTAGTTTGATGCCTTCATGGTCAGAAAAGATGGTTGATATGATTTCAATCTTGGTGTATCTGTTGATGTTTGTCTTGTGCCCCAGTATGTGATCGATCCTGGAGAATGATCCGTGTGCGCTTGAGAAAAATGTGTACTCCGTTTTTTTGGGGTTTAGTGTTCTATAGATGTCTGTTAAGCCCAATTGCTCTAGGTCTTTATTTAGAGCTTTGGTTTCTTTACTTATTTTTTGTCTTGTTGATCTATCCATTGTTGATAGTGGTGTGTTGAAGTCTCCCACTACGTATGTGTTTTCTCTGAAGGACATGAAATTCTTATTGGCCAATGAATGATAGATCAATGACTTTTTTTACCCTTCTGTTTTCTTACCCTTTTTTTACACGGACAGAAAAGTGAAAAATACATTTTACACACAAAGTGAAGTTTTACACACACAATTCAAACATTATAGAAATAATTATCAAAGTGAATGTCTTCTATTATCTTACTCCAGCCTCTCATGGACAACCCCCTTTGGTAGTTTTGTCTATATTCCTCCCTCTCTTTCTGTCCCTCTCACTTAACATTATTAAGTTTTTAATAAAAACATTATCCTGGTACATACTGGGTTTTTCTCTGTGTAAGTGCATATGTTCATTCTGTTTTACAACTTGCTCTTTTTCCACTTTTGTACTACTTTCTGTGGTAACATAGAAATCTAATTCATTCATTTTAAAAAATGAATTAATTTTTCACTTGAATTTGTCTCATAATGTATTATCAGACCATACTGATGATGGACATGAAGATTGCATCCAAATTTGCACTACTATGGACAATGCACATACATACTATTTTTTTTTTAATTTTTTTTCCTTATTTATTTTTCATCCCCATGATTTTTATTTATTTATTTATTTATTTTTGCATAGAACTGGGGTATAGTGGGCCTCCCCTGGTGGCAAAGGCGGTTGAGCACCGCACTGTGAAGTTGTCTGCAGCCTCTGCAGCGCAGGTTCAATCCCGGCCTACCAGCGAGGGTCCCACATGATGCAACAGCCCTCTCCTGTCTCTCCTGCTGCTCCCCTCAGCAGTGTATTTCGTCAGTCTGCCTGTTCTGTTCCCTGTTCTGTCTCTGGTGAATCTTCTCACCCTCCCGTGCATCTGGCCTATACCCCGATTCTTGTATAAATAAATAAAATAAATCTTTAAAAAAAAAAGAACTGGGGAACTGGGGTATAGGCCAGAGGTGCAGGGGGTGAGAGGATTCACCAGAGACAGAGTGGAGAGCAGAACAGGCAGATCTACTGAAATACACTGCTGAGAGGTGCTGCGGGCAAGACAGGAGAGGTCTGCTGTGCCATGTGTGGGTTAGCTCCCTGGCCAGGGGTCAAACTCAGAACACAGCGGTAATAGCACTGAGACTTAACCCTTAGGCCACCAGGAAGGTCCCACACATACATATTATTGTAAATATATATTTGCAGTGTGGGAGTCTCCTAGAAGGAGAAATGATGGATCAAAGGGTATGCACATTTTAGTTTAAAAGATACTGCCCAAGGGGCCTCCCTGGTGGCGCAGCTGTTGAGCGCTGGGTTGCGAAGCTGCCTGCAGCCTCTGCAGCACCGGTTCTATGCCCTGCCACCAGGTGAGGGTCCCACATGGCGCGCAGTCCTCTCCTGCCGCCCGTTGCTCCCCTCAGCAGTGGACTTTGGTCCTTCTGCCTGTTCTGCTCCCTGCTCTGGCTCTGGTGAATTCTCTCACCCTCCCGCGCTTCTGACTGTACCCAGTGCTTGTATAAATAAATAAATAAATATTTAAAAAAATAAAATAAAAGATCATGCCCAAAACTTGGGATAGTTTATTGTCCCATCAACAGTTTATGCAAATGCCCATTTCCCCACATCCTTATCTACACCATGTAGTGTCATTTAAAAAAATCTTTCCAGGGGCCTCCCTGGTGGCGCAGCGGTTGAGCTCTGGGTTGCGAAGCTGCCTGCGGCCTCTGCAGCGCCAGTTCGATCCTCGGCTGCTCCCTGGCCACCAGAGGAGGGTCCCACATGGCGCGCAGACCTCTCCTGCCGCCCGCTGCTCCCCTCAGCAGTGTACTTCAGTCCTTCTGCCTGCTCTGCTCCCCGCTCTGGCTCTGGTGAATTCTCTCACCCTCCTGCGCTTCTGACTGTACCCAGTGCTTGTATAAACAAATAAACAAATAAACAAATAAATAAATAAATAAAATACTTGCCTCTTTAAAAAAATAAAAAAAAAAATTAAAAAAAAAAAAATCTTTCCAACTTGAATGAGGCATCTCTTCACATCCTTATCATCCATCAATATTCTTCTGCAAATTATCTATTCATATGTCTTTTGCCTGTTTATTATTGCAGTGTACTTTTGGTCACTGAATTCTTATTGGCAATAATGATCAACTTGATAAAAATAGGCTTGGAAGCTTTAGTACCACATTGCTAAACAAAGTGTTCAGCTCCAGAAAGTAAGAGTATAGAAAATGAGGCAGATGCTTGTTCATTTTCATTTTTTATCATCCTGTATTATTTCACAATGAATTTGTATTACTTTAGTAAGTAAAAAAATAATACATAGAAAAACAATAACAACAGTAAATGTTTGGCTTGGGTTCTTGTCTAGGAATTCATATTGAGTACAAATTTTCATTGATCACAAGTTTGTCTTTTAGGGTTTTTCCCCCCCCCTTTATGTGCAATGTATTAAATACATGTGACACATGTATTAAATTACTTCCTAGTTAGCTGGCACTGCCCTAGCCACTTTCATAGATTTTTTTTATCCTAACCCTCACAACAACTCTGTGAGGTAGGAATTAGCCCCATTTTATAGAGTTCTTAATAGGCATTTTATTGCTTGATATATTTCCATCTGCCACATGATCATGAGCTAGAGGTTCTTACTGGTCAAGAGCACTCACTGGTCAGGCGTTCCTATAGGTTGCACTAAGATTCAAATAATAAAAAATATTAGAATTTTTCTCCCACCACAGGAATGATGGGGTAGGTGGGATACGAGCACAGCAAGGAGAGTCAATAGTCTCTCCCTATGAAGCACCATTTGAGTTTGCTTGGTCACATATGCAAGATGGGGAAGGGATGAGGGCCATGGGAAGAGGAGGGAAAGTGGTTATAAGTCTTCTCGCTTCTTCAAGATGAGCTTCCTCACAAGCGCTGTGATCTGGGGCTTGATCTCCTCCACTGACACAGTTGGGTCCCAAGCCCCTACCACTTTTCCATCTGGGGCCACCAGATACTTCCAGAAGTTCCAGGTGGGCTCCTTTCCAGAAGTCTCTAGAGAAAAGGAAAAAGGAGAGCAAAGTGTGCTTCTCTCTCCTAGAATTCCACTATGGGTTTCCATCCTTCCCTTGAAGCAGTGGTTCTATTTGATTAACTAGAGAGTTTTTTATAGTCCTTATGCTCAGTCTTCACCCCAGACCATTTTAATCAGTACCTTTGAGGGTACTGATTAAGCATTAGTATTCTTTAGAAGCTCTCCAGATGATTCCAGTATGGCCCCGAGTGTGAGAACTACTACTTCAGGATTCTGTGAACTGCTAGATAATGCAGTATCAGATCCTTCTTTATTAATGACCTCAAACTACTGAGTAGTCTACCCCTGTCCTGTAATGAATTTCAATGGTTTCCAAATGTTAGTTCATGGACTGGTTTGTATCTGAATCATGGTGTGTGTGTGTTGGGTGGGGGGCGGGTGTTGCTTAAAATAAACAGATTCTTGGGCCCTGTTTGAGTAGGTCTCAGTTAATGCATTTTTAAGAGCTCCCATGTGCTTTTAAAGAGCAGCCAGTTTTGATGTATAACTATAGAAACTGGGAAAGAACTAATAAAAACACACAGGGAGAAAAAGGAATATTAAGACTGACCCACAGAGCACAATTCAAATCTGCTTGTGTTACTCACTTACTCTCCCAGGTGAATGGGCTAAGGCAGGGGTGTGTGTGAGGGATTGAAGGAGATCAGAAGCAATGGAGTGAGAGGGAGATGGCAAACACGGAGCTGCCGAAGGAGGAAAAAGGTCTGAGGGAGGCAGGAAACAGGATCATAATGACAACTTCAGCCTTTAACCCTGTTTTGTGGTTCTGAGACTTTTGGGGCTGAAGAACGGATCGATTCTGAAATGTTAAGATCTGGAATTTTATTTTTTTATTTTTTTAAAGATTTATTTATTTAGGCATATAAGCACTGGGGTACAGGCCAGAGGTGGGGGGGGCGGTGAAACAGAATGGGGAACAGAACAGGCAGACTAACTGAAATACACTGCTGAGGGGAGCAGCGGGTGAGTCACGAGAGATCTGCTGCACCATATGGGCACCTCCCTGGCCAGGGATCGAACTCTTGCTGCAGTGGCTGCAGATTGCTTCATAGGTTGCGTCTTAACCCCTTGCGCCACCAGGGAAGCCCAAGATCTGGAATTTTAGCTCAGAAGGTTTCCCTCTTCCAGACGTTGCCTCTGACTTAGGACAGGAGATGCCTGTCAGCCATTTTGGTCAGCCTTCTCCGGGCTGTGGCATCCCCAGTCCGTGCCTTGGTTCCTCCATCCTAAGTGCAAAAGCGCAACTAATTCTCATTGACTAAAATCTATGGGCCTATTCTCCTTCTAGGAGCCCGTGTGCTTGGCAACAGGATCCCAGAGAAATCTGTAAGAATGCCTAAGAGATAAGTGCAAAGCAGCAGAGTGAGATATTCTTAACTAAGAATACCCCTCCGCCCAGCCTTAAAGATGAGGTGACCATCAACAGACTACCAGCCCACCTGCGGGACTCTGGAAGGTCCCCAGGTCAGAAGCCAGTCAGTGGTTTCTATTGCCCAGGGAGCACTGCCTCAGCCAGCTGAGGGAAGGGAGGGAAAGGATCAGGACTCACCAGTCAGGTACTTGAAGGCAGGGTGGGCACCAGTGCCAATGACCGCGACCTTGCTAAACATGGGGAAAGAGACACTGTAGGTGCGGCGAGCAAAGCTCTCAATTTCCTTGTTGCTGTCAGGTTCCTGCTGGCCAAACTGATTGCAGGGGAAGGCAAGCACGTTGAAGTGGTGGGGCCCCAGGTCCCGCTGCAGTTGTTGCAGGGCTCTGTAGTGCTGGTCTGTGAAGCCACATTCACTAGCCACATTCACCACCAGGGATACCTGGAAGGCAAAAACAAAGCCCAAACACGTACACGACCTAGTGAAGAGGCAGGCAGTTACATATATATAATCTGACACGCCCACATGTGTAACCCTCAATTAGTGTTTTCTCTCCTACAAGAGTTCGATCCCCAGGGGCCTGGGAGCTGCCCACATGGCACAGCAGACCTCTCCTTTCTCGCCTGTTTCTTCCCTGTTGCTATCCTTAGAAGTGTACTTTGGTCAGTCTGCCTGTTCCCCACTCTGTCTCTGGTGAGTCCTCTCACCCCCCACACACCTCTTAACCCAGCTCTTGTATGCATAAATAAATAAATCTTTAAAAAAAAATACAACATACACATAGGTAAATGTGTATGCAATGTTCTCACAAATATATCAACATGTACACATAAGCAAAAAGGAAATCCAACACACAGGGGCTTACAGATATGTGCATACACACATACATGAACATTTGTGAGAATAAGCACACTATACACATAAAGGGATATACACATGACCATGATGTAAAGATACATTAGCACACATAACACAAGTCCACCAACGCACTTAACACATTCATATATTGGGAAGCTCACATCAGGTGGTGATGTGGGGCAGTGGGAAGGGAGACTTGGGTCCAATTCCTAGATTACTCAACTAGTACTCATCATTCTACACTGTGGTTGCCTATATATGTGCTGATCTCCCTTCTAGAATGTGAACCCACTGAGAACATGTGCCATGTCCATTTCACCTTGGGCCTGTCATATAGGAAAGTATTAGGAAGTGTCTGCTGAATGAATAAATGTGTACACACACAACAATCACTTGCATAGATACATAGACAAACATGGGTTTTCTTGATCAAAAGCCCTGATGACCTCGGGGCAATCCTTTTTTGTTCCTGACCCTCCAACAAACACATACCACTTTATTCCATTTACTATACTAACCCTTAAATTTATTAATCTTTTAATAAGTTTATTTACACATTTTAATACTTATTTTTGTTTATAAATAGACAGCTGGCTGATGGAACTTGATTGTAATACTAAAATTAGAATTTTGGCGCCAATGCAAGTTTTTAGCTCTAATTACATATTATCAAAAGAATTTTAAATCTTACCGTGTATCTGGGCTGCCCAGTTCTATCTCTCTGGCCACCTTTTTTTTTTTAGAAGATCCAGTATTATACCAGTTGGCATCATAAAAGGGAGCAACCTGGGGCAGTCTAACACCCTCACCCTGACTCCTGCAGATGAGGAACACCCATTCCCTGGGTTCACTCACTCTTAGAACAACCTTCCTTCATTTGTGTCAGCAAATGCCATGCTCTGCCTTGGTAGTGAGAAACTTCGACACTTAACTCCTTTTCCCAGTTAGGGGTCTTCCTTTTTTCTCTGCTAGATCCCTGCATGATAAGAATATTAAAGGTTGTTTGTTTTTAACATACATCTTGTATGTCTGACACTTTTTTGGAAGGAGGGAAGAAACTCTGCTCCTTGTTCCATACCTGAAATTTTAAAAATTTATCCTTAAAAAGACTAAAATACAAACACACCCAAATACAGCATTAATTTATATATTTATACATACAAGCACAGATAAAACTCAGATGTGCACACAGAAGCAAGCAAAGAAAAAAAAATCATTCACACACACATACTACACTCAGATGGACATGAATATAAACTCGCGCAGTAGGTAAGCACATTCGTCCAGACTCCTTGCTGCTCTAAAAGACTGCCTTCTCAGTTCACCTGGGACCATAAACCATACCAATCTTGCTTATGGCTATTGTTGCCAAGGTTTGACCCAGTGCCACACACTATTTTATTGTGGTAAAATAGTCTTAATGAGTCAGTTAATACTTGCTGAATGAGCCCTTATGAATGAACGATCATATTGCCCAAGTGGCAGACAGAGCTTAGTCTAACAGCATCATTTACGGCTTCCCTGACTGACTATTCCTGGTTTTTCTCTAAACCTGGCTAATCAGGGCATGGGCTTTGGAGCTGGACTGCCTGGTTCAAATTCTAAGTCTTAGTAGTCATGTGACTTTGTTCTATTTCTGTCTTAGCCATTTACTACTACTAGGAAATTACCCTGTTCATTTCTCTCTCCGCTCCATCCCTTATAAACTCTATTAATGTGGAAACTGGCCTGTTGCACACTTAGGGTCTAACCTAGAACTTTGTGGATGCTCAATAATAAATAATGAATTAAAGAGCAGCAGAGGTGGTCAAGTGCTAACTAAACCTGGTGCTTTCTTATGGGTTGCACTGGAGGGAAAAGAGGCTTAACTAAGAATGAGTCCTGTTCTTCGTCCTTTGCTCTGAGTCCTGGATGAGGGTTCTTCTGGGGTCCACCAACACAGGGACAGAGCACTCTACAGTTGTCATCTCATTTGAAACTCACAAAGCCTTGGGGGAACAATCAGGACAAGGATTACTTGCCTCCAGGACTCCCAGCATAATTGAGAATCCAAGGTTCAGAGTACTTTTCTTACTAAAGTTGGCATTGCTCTCTGGAAGAGAATACTGACAGTCATTTTGTTGTGGTCCATTCAAATTAGAGACCAACTCCTACCTCCCCACAACGCCCAGGTTCATCCTAAGTGGACTTGGAGCATTCTTTATTACACAGTGTGACATGCAGCCCTTAGAATACCCTCCCTACCTTTTAGGCCTTATCTTCTACCACTCACTGACTCATGCTTTATAAGCCTTTAGTACAAAGGATTGGCTTCCCCAGACCCCTTAACTCTTTTCCCCATTCCTCCACCACCCTTTCTGCTGTTTGCTTCTGAGACTCCTCAGGACACTTCTGCTTGGAATGTTCTTCCAAGTCTTGCTAAAATTCAGTCTTACTTCAAAGACTCACCCAGACACACTTTCTCCCTGAAGTCCTCTCAGTAAGGAGGTAGCAATCAACTTGGATGACTTTTATAACTCACTCTAAGCTGGCATTTTAGGAGTTTGCCTAAAGAGGACACTGTCAGATGTGTGGTTCTTTGCCAGGCATTGTGTTTTCCAGCGCTGTGTGACCCTGTCCAAAGACCCCCCCTTTTCTGACCTGAGAGCGCCCCTACATCTAAAATAACAACTCCCTCTTGGATGCATGCACATTCTTTTCCAAAATGCTTTCGTTGGACGCAACACCAGCAACTCCCCCTGCTCCAAATGCAGAGACGGGATGGGAGAAACAAAGGCTGCAGGATGCCAGATTACGGAGAAACAAAGGCTGCAGGATGCCAGATTACGTTTTGCACCGTGCACGACAAAGCCCGGGCCAGGACATCAGCCTGTGAGTCGCGGAGAGGGAAATCCAGGCTGCCTTCCAGAGTTTCCGGTTCCCCTGCGCACCCCGGCAGTGCCACGTAGTCTCGGGACAGACCAGGCGCAGGATCTGGGGGTGCAGCGCCGGGGGAGGCATGCCCAGGTGGGGGTGCTGGGAGCCAGGAAAGGGCTGTCGGCCGGCTGGAGGCCCCACCCCGCAGGGACCCGGCCGCAGGGCGCCCCCAGCAGGCCCTACCCGGCGGCGCCGAGGCCCGCCGAGCGGACACTCACCGAACCACGGTACTTTTCTAGCGATACCAACTTGCCCCGGATGTTGACCGCCTTGAAATCGTAGAAGTCCTGCTCCCTCTGCGCGCAGGCGGCGGCCCACAGGAGCAGCCACACCGCCGCCACTGCTGCTCCCATGACTTGCTTCCGAGGTGGTGGCGTTGTGAGGGCAAAGACCCGGCGGGGGGAGCCCTTCGTGGGGGGCGGAAGGAGGCGGCTCTGGCGCCACGCGTCCGCGAGGCCAGACGCTGCTCCATCCCTGCCCCTGCATCTGCGGTGGTGCGCCAGGCTCTGGACCTCAGTTTCCCCCCAGGCTCGGCGGGATCTTTGGGCTTCCTGAGCCCCAGAGCCATGGTTTAGGATTCTGAAGTTGACACCAGAATTAGCAGCTCCCTCTAGTTTCAGGATGCAGTGATTTGGTAGAGAAAGAGAGGAAAAAGAGGGGCCTCCCTGGTGGCTCAAGGGGTTAAGCACCGCACTATGAAGCAGTCTGCAGCCTCTGCAGCACGAGTTCTATGCAGCCTCTACAACATGAGTTCGATCCCCAGCCAGGGAGCAACCCACATGGTGCAGCAGACCTCTCCTGACTAAGCCGTTGCTTCAGTCTGCCTGTTGTTTTCCCCACTCTGTCTCTAGTGAATCTTCTCACCCCTCCCCCCACATCTCTGGCCTGTACCCCAGCTCCTGTATGCATAAATAAATAAATCCTAAGGAAAAGAAAAAGAAAAAAGCCCATGGACCTGAAAGTCCAGTCTTTAATTAGTGCAGTGGCTTTAAGCTCATCACTCCCTCTATGTGGGCCTCAGTTTCTCCATCTCTTCAGTGGGGCAAACCTCGGTTCCTAAAGCACCCAGTTAGTATAAAATGGGAATAATAGAAAAATAAATGTGAAACACTTTTTCAGCTAATTATGTAAATGAATGAATCTTCCCTGAAAGGGATGGCACAGAGAAAGAGAAGAGAAATTGGAGTGGCTGTTGCAGGTTGGGATCCTGGGGAGCAGATTCTGAGGCAGACATTGCAGTGCACAATATTTAAGGGAATAATTCTTGGAATTGGCATCTGGGGAAGGGACTAGAGAGGATGGGAGTGGGCAGAAGTCCAGAACTCTATGCAGGTCCAGAGACCTGATACATAATAGGTGCTCAGGGTATGAAAATCCACATTGAAGAGTATGATGACTTCATACTTGATGCAGTTTTGTTAGGATTGTGGTATATATGTCATCGATGGCAGTTTTTTTTTCTCAAATGTTGATTTGCTAATTGTTTACATAACTATTTTGGGGGGAAGTACAATTTCATAGGTGCACACACTTCATTCACCCTCCATCAAAGGGCATTATTTTTCAGGCTGTTAATTGCAGCCTCTTAGTAGATCATGGGATCAGTTTAGTAGCTCAGACCAACAGGGTGGGGAGAAAAAGAATTGATTATATCCCCAGCCAGGGAGCTAACCCACATATGGCACAGCAGATTCTCCTGTCTCCTCCACTGCTCCCCTCAGCAGTGTATTTTAGTCAATCTACCTATTCTGCTCCCCACTCTGTCTCTGGTGAATCCTTTCACCCCCTGCATCTCTGGCCTGCATCCCAGTTCTTCTACGCAAAATTAAATTTTTGAAAATGGAAAATATGAGAATAAGTTCCAGATAGTAAGAATTAGTGTAATGTTATGGAACAGGTATGCGTAATCCAGATTGCAAGATAAACTATATTTCTAGTGTGATTTGCATTCAAAATGTTAGAAATCCACTGACATAAGACAAATAATATAACTCTGCACTTCTGTCTCATTATCTTTATCTTTGTGACTTTTTTTTATTAAGGCAACATTTCATTATCTCTAAAATGGGGCTAATAATAATGCTTTCTCCCTCATGGGATTGTAATGAACCAACACATGTAAAGTGCTTGGTATCCAACAACATTTCAATTTTATTTTTTTTAAAGATTTTTAAAAATTTATTTGTACAAGAACCGGGGTACAGGCCAGATGCACGGGATGGTGACAGGATTCACCAGAGACAGAGTAGGGGGCAGACTGATGAAATACATTGTTGAGGGAAGCAGCGGGTGAGACAGGAGAGGTCTACCGCACCACGTGGGTTTCTCTCCACAGGATCAAACCCGCACTGCAGAGGCTGTGGACAGCTTCACAGTGCAGCGCTCAACCACCTGCTCCACCAGGGAGGCCCTCCAACAACATTTTTAAAAAGCAGAATATTAAATTTTATTTATCTTGGGTGATTACTGCTGTATAATATTAGGCATAAAGATAGAAAAGGGCTTTTTATCTTATTATATGAGACCAGTTCTTTTGGTAAATACTGTGGCAACAGATAACTTTAAAGAGTAGGAAGCCATGCATCTAACCTCTTTCTTTTTCTTGAGACCAGGAATGTTGTGGGGACTGTTTGGGGTGGTAGAGCTGCTGCCTTAGATTCTATCTGAGGCTGTATCCTATTAATATCTCTACTGCATCTGACCAGTGCCCATAGGCTGTCTCTGCACCTGTTCCTAGAAAATTAACATAGCTCTTCTTAGAGCCCCTGAGGGGAGCGGCTCAGTAGGGCTTACCTATTTAAGTATTCAGAACACTTAGCACCATGCCTGACACTCAATAAATGTGGACTAAGTTGAATTGGACTATTGATACTGTTGTGTGACCTTGATTAAGTCACTTCCATTCTCTGGACTGGAGTTTCTTGTGTGTAAAATAAGGAAAATTGCATGGAAGGTTATTGGTAGAAGGCATCTCTGACTTTACAGCAGAGGATGCTGAAACTCAACTAGAGGAAGGGAGTTGCCCAAGTTCACATCACCACTAGTGTGAGAGAGGGGTGGAAGTTACAGCTGAAGTGTCTCCACCCCCTGGTAGCGCAATTTCTATGGCATTGACTTGTGAATCCAATTCTATAATCCTAGAGAGCAGTTAGAGACAATAAAGATACACATCGCAGTAGAGATAAATCTTGAAAAATACAGTGTGGTGTGCAAAAGTAAGATACTGAATGAGATACATAACCTGGTGCTACTTAACGTAAATATAAAATACGTGCCCACAATATGAAAACGCACATTTTGCAAGCGTGATGTAAACAGTTACACAATAAATACACACTAAAGAGTTTTCTGTAGGGGTAGACAAAGGAAAGAGGTAAAAGGGAATAGGTAAGTAAATAAAACAAGAGACAAGACTTCAAGGTCAAAGAAAATAGTTATGAACTCGGTAGCATATTTTACTCAACTCTGCACTTGAAGTTGAAATATAAATTACCATAAACTACTTTCTTGTGGATTTTATTTCTAGCAATATATGTAAAACAATATATGTAAAACAAAAACAATATATGTAAAACAATATATGTAAAATATATGTAAAAACATTATAATATATGTAAAGACAGTTTCTGTCACTGACTTCTAAAAATGCCCCCCTCCTCTCCTTGAGCTCTACACTCCTTTAAGCCTTTCTCTCATCTAAAGTCCCTAGGACAGGGCCTCCCTGGTGGCACAGCATGTTGAGCACTGCACAAGTTCAATTCCTGGCCCAGCCAGGGAGATACCCACATGGCGAGGCAGACCTCTCCTGTTTCTTCCGCTCCTCTCAGCAGTGCTTTTGGTCCGTCTTCCTGTTCTGCACCCCACTCTGTCTCTGGTGAATCCTCTCACCCTCCCACGCCTCTGGCCTGTACCCAGCTCTTATATAAATAAAATAAATCTTAAAAAAAAAAAAAAGTTCCTAGGGCAGCTTTCTCCTTGGTCTCCCTGCCTCCACTCTTACCCCATCCAATCCAATACAATTTTCCACAGAGCTGCCAGAATAACCTTTGTCACATAAAAATCTGATTGTGGTTCTCCTTTGTTTAAATAACCTTCGGTGACTTAGTCTGTGACCAAATGACCTAGGTGGCATGCGGCATAGTCAAACACAAGAAGTTATCTGCCTGGGTGTGCAACTTAGTTCTGTCACTTTTTGTAGGCTTTTACACATGTTAATTAACCCACTGGGAAATTATACAGTTATATAATAAACTGTTCCTCTAGTTCCCAGATTTCCTCATCTGGAAAATAGGAATGATAACCCCTATTCATTATTGGTGGATTAAAGAAATTTAAACATGTAAACAATTTCAAACATTTAGATATTATTATTATTACCCTCATTATCATCATCATAATCACTCAGGCCCTTGACTGTTTGGGTTCCATGCTTCCCCTCAGCCTTATTTCCTGTCTTTTGTTTCTCATTTCTAATATCTACAAGGCCCTGCCCCCACTCTTCTGCCTGGTATACTTCCTCTTGATTCAAAATTCCCTTCTCCAGAAAGCCATATTTCTGTCCCCTTGCCACAGATGTGGTGCAGTTGATTGGAGTTCTTTCTCTGGGCTCTTCAGACCCCTGTGTGTTTATCCTGATGTGTTGTTAATTTATCATTAAGTGTCTGTTTGCCTGACACAGTACCTGGTAGATGGTAGGTATTCAATAAATATTTCTTTTAAAAAATGTCTTATTGATGAATAATATGATCCAGTAAAGCTAAGCTATCATAAGCATGACAGAATTTTCAGCATATAACCTGCACCAAGATCTATAAACACTCTTACCAGGACTCTAGAAGCCCTCCTCATGACCCTTTCCACGGCTCCTTCCAAACCCCCCATCCTGACTTCTGACAGCGTATATTAGTTTTGCCAGTTTTTGTACTTTACATGTAATCATATAGAGCATACTCTTTTCTGCGTGCCTTCTTTAGCTCATCTTAAGTTTCATCCAGTACTCCATATTTTTGTGTGTCATTGGAGATTGTTTATTCTCATGCTATGTGTATACTACTAAATTGTGTGAATATACACACTCCAGTATTAATTGAATGATTGAAGAAATCTGTCTATTTTCTACACTCTAAGTTAGGAAAGAGACAAGGTTTTATTTATCTCTAAATCCCCAGAACCTAGCACAAGACCTGGCACTTGGTGGGAGCCCACTGAGTACTTGAGGAATGAATTGGCGCACAATTCCCTTAAGACTTTGTAATTAAACTGGTCACTTCCCCATCCTTGTTGGGGCCCCAGCTTCAGATCCCTGGGTGATGCAGGTGAGTTGCTAGGCAACAGCATGAGGTTGGCTCAGGGGTCACAGTGGAGAGTGTGCTGCGGAGGCTGAGGCCGAGGTAATTGGAAACACTTCTATTCAGCAGTCTCTGAACTGCCTCTGGTTCTTCCCTACAGCCCATCCCCCTTCCCCCCAGGCAGCTGCAGGAAAGCTCTTTCTGAAACAGCCCCCAGACTTCGGCACTTCCCTATTCCAAAACCTTTCGGTTCTCAATTGAGGAAACTAAGGTTCAGAGAGTTGAAATAACCTGATCAATGTCCAAATAACAAGTAAA